CCTAATTTCACTCGCACACAGACAAGTGGCGTCATTGATATAACGTAGCCATGATATAAAAGTATGTAATACAACAGTTATGTCCGTATCATTGAATATATGCCTTCGGTCTGTCGTAATATAACCCTCGCAAGCTCGGGCTATATTGGTGACAGACCTTAGGCATATATTCAATGATAGGGACATAACTGCTAAATAAGGCGTATAAGTCGCATATTTTCTTGAATTCTAACATTTAATGTCTAAACTCCTCCAAACTGCTGAAAAGTATACACCGTAAATCATATATACCAAAATGAGTGGCTCCAAGGCTTCATACCAGTGTATGCATAATGCATTTGTCACGAGTTTGAGCTGAAATTTCGCTAAGATGAAGTAAGGGCCCAGGTAATCTCTGCCAGGTTTTTTTATTGTGGTAAGTGCTCAGAAGCAAATAATTCATGTGCGCAAAATTTGTTTGTGTTTCAGTGTAACTTCCGCAAAAAGGGTCGGACCAATGACAGAATTAGCAGGTAAAATCACTTCGAAAAAGAGAACTTTTTTAAGAGAACTTTTTACCTATAATAGCAAAACTTTTGTTTTATTTGTGCATTCTATCTATCAGATAAGAGTCTCAGGGGTATATAGGCAAATCTATTTTGATAGAAGAACTCTGTCTAGTTTGAAAACTTACCCTTCATTATTTTGTATCAGCACTATAGGGACGTTTTTACGAGTTTAACTGTCTGAAGATGTATTGAGAACGAGGTAGAACTAATTGCAAACGGGTTAAAACTGATTAAGAACGTATTTATCAACGAGTTAGCAAAAATATAGCTATCACACCAAGCAAGTTGCCACTGCGTTCTTCAAAACTGGTTTTAAACTGTGTGCGAACGGAATGAAAGTAGCAATCAACGTTCTACAGTCTGTTTACGAAGTTCATGGACTTTCCCCGACAGGGAATGTGTTTTAGAATTTTGAATCGATTCAAAATTCGATGGCGACCATACCATTCTGTAATCAGGTTATGATGATCTTCTAGACTAAGGGACTCGTTATACGCGTTGCACACCGACGTGGTGCGACCTGAACGAACTGCGAATGAGATGGACGTATTGAAGACTGTTTATGAACAAAGTAGCTAATTATTTTAGACATATTTCCCGACCACAGCCAGATTGAGCACGTTTTACGACGTTTTCGTAGGACGGGCAAGAACGGGTAAGAACTAGTTTGGTGTGATAGGGGGGTTACGTTGAACAAGGTCTGGTTTTGAAAGATCTATCAATTTCTAATAAGCTTGATCAACACTAAAAAACTTAACAGATGCGAAATAGGATTGAAATATTTATTCCTGATTTCACAAAACCAAAGTGGCATAATCGTGCATTTTCACACTTGATTTTGATAAGGTTTTGTTATTTGTGCCTCTAATTTGTTTTAACTAATTTTTAGTTGAATGTCGCAGCATGCACTTCCTAAAGGAGTGGTATTGATATGGTGAACTTTTTTAACACGCGTTTCTCTTAAACCAGTCATCAAAACATTCTGAAAATTTTACACATTGTCAATAACCCAGATGCGAGTAGAAATAATCTTGATTTACGTCATTAAAAATTTAAAATTCAGTCAAAGTAATGTAATATTTGAAATCTACATGTAAAATTACATCTAGAAATGTGGTTTTAGAAAGTGTTTATCAACTTTGAAAAATTTATTTTCTTTGAAAATGTGACTTCTAGCTCGGGGAGATTCCCCATAGACCCCATGCTATAAAATCACAAAAAATGAAATATCTTTTCTTTTAGTGGACAGATAATATTTTGCTTTATTGGACATATTTTCATTAGTATAAGTATCAGACACATAAGGGTTATATGAGAATTGAGCCACTTAAATTGATAATATTCAAGTTTAAGGGAACTTTCTTATATACCTGCCATGTTAATTGACCCGAATCAGCCACCTGGTGGTGAAACTGGTAACTACCTACTCGCATTTGGGTAATTTAATGGTCATCTTTTGGATGGTAACATTATAATTTGAAATATATATTATCTACTAATCTAAATATATGTTTTTATATGCACCAAAGTTCTGAACGCTAGAAAACTCATACTAAAAATGTTCTTACTTTTTAATGGTGTAATTAGACCAAACAGCAAGTGCAAAGATCACTCACAATATAATATAATAATATAATGAAAAAAATTTGCCGAAAATATTCAAACCCCCTCTTATCAAATCCTGGCTAAGCCACTGCAGTTGTCATGACTACAAGGCTTAAGACATTATGAAACCAAATATTTGACAATAACTGTCATTTTGAGATATTTATGAGCATTTTTATGTTGATTAGCCCTTCATTTTTATACTGCCAGTATTTATGATCCCCCCTCATATACCATGAAATGAAAATATTAAGATCATATAATACAATATAAGGGTGATCATTAAGTTTTGGGATTCGATCTGCCATTCAATATTTTTCAACCAATTATGTTGAAATTTTCAGCAAATGTAAATTATGTATTTCTGAATTGACATACAATCTTTCGTATACATAACACTTCTACAATTTATTTGGTTGTAATTACAATGAATTATAAAAATAGTAAAAGTGGTCTGCGGGTCAGCAAATTTTGACTGATGTTAATAAGAACATTTCCTGCCATAACATATTCATCTTGCCTGCATGGTTACTTCAAACTACTTGCACTAGGGGCAGCACAGTCCTTTTTATCCCAATGAACGAAGTTCGAGGGGGATATAGAGAAGCCGTCCATCCCTCGTCCGTACGTCCGTTCGTTCGTTTGTCCGTGTGTTCGGGCGATAACTCCAATACTGGTTGACGTATTTGGTTCAAATTTTATAGGCTTATGCCTTATGAGTGTAGGACCTCTGCTCGAGAAGGAATTTTCAATATGGCCGCTCAATTCAAAATGGCCGCCATTTTTCGTAAAAAATGTAATCGTTGATAACTCAAATACAAATTGATGGATTTGGTTCAAATTTTATATGCTGATGCCTAGGGATAAAGTTTCGCACAAAAAGAGATTTTCAAGATGGCCACTTAATTTCAAAATGGTGGCCATTATCATAAAAATATGTAATCTTTGATAACTCAAATACCAGTAAATGGATTTGGTTCAAATTTTATATGATGATGCTTAGGGACACAGTAGCTATGTTCGACAAAAATTTTTCAAGATGGCCGCTTAATTTCAAAATGGCGGCAATTTTTCGTAAAAAACGTAATCTTTGATAACTCAAATACCAGTGAACAGATTTGGTTGAAATTTTATATGATTATGCCTAGGGACACAGTAGCTCTGTTCAAGAAATAATTTTCAAGATGGCGGCTGAATTTCAAGATGGCGGCCAATTTTCGTAAAAAATGTAATCTTTGATAACTCATATACCAGTGAATGGATTTGATTCAAATTTTATATGATGATGCCTAGTTCACAATGGTATAAACTAACTTTGTGCCAAATTTCATGCTTCTATCACAAAGTGCACAAACATTTCAACATTTACACTAGCTATAATAAGCATAATATGTTTTGTTTGGTGGGATTTGCTACTCCGTGGAGTTGCTGTTTTTCTAGTTAGTCATTGATATAGAAGTATTATTCAGTGTCGAAAGGATCATTTCGTATAATAGTTTCCATTAGCCTGAATGTACATGCGTTGTTGACAAACCTAATCCATAGAGGCGTTTTCCAGGTCTCCATTTGTTATCTCTCGAAGATTGGTTTAAGTTGTTGAAATCAGCCCCTAATTTGAATCAAACAGATGACATCTCACATGATGCTTCAACATCCCAAATGTAGTGAAGCCTAATGGTGTTTCATCTGGTGAATATGAGACATGAGCAAGTTTTGTGAACCCTAGTTCTTCAAGATAAGTATTACAATTGAAGATAACTCCCCGCTTTTTGAGCCATTGATTGTGACTCGGAGAGTCTGAAGAATGATAAGAAAATAGAGCAAAGAACACTGTTATATCACTGTAATACAGATGTTACTATAGACACTGCAGTTAGATCTATTTGAAAGCATATAAAATCACAGAAAGATGTCTACCAAATAGGTATTTATCAACCATACTTTTTGGATCAAGTAAGATAAAAATAAATCCAAATTTTGTTTGACCCGCGACACCATACGTCATGTTGCTATAGTTATAATAATTATCTATTGTAACATCATATTACAAGAGACTGTTTTATTCAACTCATAATTACATTTCACCTTTACGTTGAAAATGTCAAGCAAATTGGTTGAGGAATAATGAAATGACAGACAAATTCCCAGACCTTAGTGGTCACCCTGTATTTAAGAAATATAGACCGTAGAACAGGGCTACTTGTTTCGAATACACCCAGCAGGGTCTAGGCACAAATGTTTTCTGTACCCCGAATGACCGAAGGGAGTGAGGGGTTCGAAAGCTTTTGTTCCTAGACCTAAGGGGTGTATTCGAAACTAGTAGCCCTTCTCTGAGGTCTATATTACGATTTGAACATGAAAACTCACCAGAATATTGCAAATCGTCAATTTCGATGTTCATTTCAACTTTTTTCATTTCTACTTCTGGTTGAGCATTTGGCTGTTCCAATTTGTTTACTTACCTCCTGACCCCGACTTAAGTTTATTAGTGACATTTCGGCCTATTTTATTAGTTTCACGCATATCTACTACATTGGTAATTATTGAAATTATTGATACAGTTTACAAATGCTTCGACAGAAAATTTTGGCTCCGGACAATTTCTCCCTGCCATTTTGAATTTTGCAGACGAGAGGGGGATGTGAAAATAATGAAACGGCCTAAACTGACCAATGAATGCACTGAACGAAACATTAAGTACAGAGCCGGGGAATTGATCTCGAATATAACCCAGCTGAAGCATTGACTTTGTTCACAGTTTATAGAAGGCATGAATACAGTCATGTTCGAATATGATATAATGTTCAATGAAATATTGCACATGGAACATACTTCCTGTTTTTCTAGGTAATGGACTTCAGTTGGTCGCATGATGGTCGTATGGCTTTGATATGCTACCGCGATGGTTTTGTATTGGTTGGCTCTGTAGCCGGACAACGATACTGGTCAACCACCCTTACACTTGACAACAGTATCATCACATGTGGCCTGTGGATGCCAGATGATCAGAAGGTATGTGGAATTTTTGCCTACCCTTCCATTGGCCAAACATGGGACACATTGGTTTGATATGGCACATATGGAACAAAGATACTTTTAAGCTAACAGCAGCAACCTAAAGACTTCCTTTCGGAAGATAATTCTAATACGTAGTGGACAGATTTTCTTAAATTTGGTGGAAAGATGTATACTGGTGAATAGTTGTATGAAACATAAAAAATTTAAGATGGCATAACAAGAATTGTAAGGTCCAATTTGATTAGCTGACTATATTGCATCATCTGCTGTGAACCAATCAAATCCGAGTTTACAATTTCTAGAAACCGGAAGTAGTTCCTATGGGATCAACCAGGCGTCTGTCCATCCGTTGGTCTGTCCGTCCATCAACATTGGCCGCACAAATTAAAACTGCTATTCGGATTGAGTCATATCCCCATTCATTTCATGCATATCCATAATGCCTATTTGACCTATCATTGCCATTTCCCAAGAAATTGCTGATTTTGACGTCAAAAAGTCAAATTTTTTTTAAATACTAGACACCTTGTTGAAGTAGAACTTTCAAATAACTTGTAGTAGTTGCTGTATATGCAACTTATGTTTTCTGGAGATTTCAAAGCCCTTGAAATTACAGTTTTTGGTGTTTACTCTATAAAATTTGACAAAAAGTCACTGGCATGTAGCGGCCCTGATATCGATAAATTCTACACGCAATATAACCCGATTCTAAATGCTTGGTTAAAACTTTACACGAAAAAGCCTCGATATCCGGGCATTTACTCTTACACTGAACTGAAAATAGCATCGTCTAAACGCGTATGTGTTGGCTTCCGGGTAAGTTTATCAACATTTATACTCAATTGAAAGAGCAGTCGTGCTTATATCGTGTACCAGTTTGATTAATGTATATGTGTGTGTATTTATAATATGATAGCCTAGTAATACCGTGTCGTTAGAACAACTGCTCGATATCGAACTGATGACCTGAAATTACATTATTGGACTGATCGCGCATCTGATATTAAATGATTAATTTGCGTTGAATCTGATATTAACTTGCAACCCAATACCATGACTTTACATTTGAATGATAACACGGCCTCATATTCTAATTCATTATACGTCCATTGCAGGCCAAAAATGTTTCAATGTGGATATTGTAATGCACACGAGAATACATTCGATTCGTATATATTGATCACACATCAATTGAACTTGGAGATTTTCCTGTACACTTTTCCCAAACATGTGGAATAGACTAGATGCCAGTAGAAATTATCTTGATTTATCCTATGCCAAGGAGGGTTTTAGGGAGATAAGTTGGTAAGATATATCCCGTATCCTGATTTTGAGGTTTCCATATCAAGAACCTCCATATCTCCCGTCATATCTCCCGCTTCGGTGCATATCTTCCCGCTTCGGGGCATATCTTCCCGCTTCCAAAAAAAGTGGAAATGCAATAAAATGACTTTGCATATGAATGATTTGTTTATTTTTTACACCTTGTACTACTGAAAACTCTACTTGGTATAGGATAAAGCAGTTATGTACGGTCGGTTTGGATATTGGGTTCATCCCTCGTGAGGTCCCTCAGGTAGATATGCATATCTCTCTCTGGATAAACCCCATATCCAAAACCTCCCAGTACAGAACCCTTATTTATCCCATGGTTACAAGGATATAGATCGAATATCACGTGAAGATATAATTGATATGGAACAATTTACACCTTGACATGAGAAGAGGTCAACCGATATCACGCTTCAAAAGATAAGTAAGAGATTACAGGAGCCCTGTCTCCATGCTACCCACTACCAAAATGGTAAACGAAATGCCTAGATATGTTGAATGTGCTTTTAACAAACTCAGAGTGGGTCTTCTTTTAAAATCGCAACTATATGTTTATAATTTCACCAGTGTTAGTGATCCCTTTTGTAAGTGTGGATTACCACAAACACCTTCTCATTTTATCTTAAAATGTCCTCTGCTTGTAAACGAGCGTGAAACTTTATTTGCAGGACTGCGAACTTCAGATCTTCATCTTTTGGTTCAGAGTTTGAACACAGTTGACAAAATTCAGTTTCTTTTGTATGGTGATGAAAATTTAGATAATTCATTAAATGAAAAATTAATAGAACTAATGAGTCATTTTGTGGATCAAAGTTTGAGCCAAATTGATCGGTTTGGCTAATTTTTGCATGCATGTGTTAACTCATCCCTGGCCCATGGGATTATAGTTTCTTATATGAGTTTTAACATTACTTTGATAAATTTTTAAATTTTATTGTATTCCTATTCATATTGTCTAAAATTGCCGCTAATGTTTTTATAAAAACTTTGGCAATCAACTGCATGTCTGTTATCGTTTACTAAAGGAATACATTTATGTATAATAAAAAAAAAAAAAAAAATAATTGATACGTGGATGAAGATATCATATTTTAGCAAACAATTCCCAAATCATGGAATATCACTTTTGAAACCATTGAATATCACTTTTTGAAAGGTGATATTCGATGGTTTCAAAAGTGATATTTGATGGTTTCAAAAGTGATATTCGATGGTTTTGATTTTTTCAATTTTTTTATTAATTCAGCAAAACGATTGTTTATATATTTATTATTTTTTGGGATCTTGTTTTTACGGCGTTCGCATTAAATACAAACCACTCTGTTACGTCACGTATATGACGTTCGTTGAATTATCACAATCAAAATGTCAGACGAAATGGAATTTCCATTGCAATTTATCTGACTATTCAATGTTCGCTGGATAATAATTCCCAATGGGATAAACGGACAATCCTATGGTTTTTCAAAAATATCACTTATATCCACTCATGGATATCAGTATCTTCACTCATTCGCTGCACTCACTCGCGAAGATATCAATATCCACTCATGGATATAAGTGATATTTTTTCAGAGCCATAGGATATTCCTATATTATTCCATAGTTAGCATGATATCCATAGGATAACATGTCAAAATAAAAACGGTATTTTTAAAATCAGTGGTAAAATATGATATTTTTGGCAAATTTTCACTTAACCATAGCATACAATGTTTTAGCCATGACATATGGCGCCGTATGCCATGGTTTATGAATTTTTGCTACTTCAGACTCAAAACGAGGCTAAGTGTCAATATCGCCGTATCGTTTGGAAAATTCCTTTTAAATCACTTAATTCCCGACGATTCTGATGATGACTTTAACTATGGAATATAAAGAACATCCTATGATTTACTCGTGATATGATTTTAATCCACTCATGGATGTTGATATCTGCACTCTCTCGCTACGCCCACTCGTGCAGATATCATATCCATTCGTGGATAAAAATCATATCACTCATAAATCATAGGATATCTTCTATTTAAGATGTGATATTCGATAGTTTAAAAGTGATATTCGATGGTTTGTAAATTGTTTGCTAAAATATGATATCTTGATCCACATATCCAATATATCATCATGTGATATTCGATCTATATCCTCCTTGCAACCATGGGATAAAGCTTTACGTCCCACTCCAAGCCGCTACGTCATAATCGCCGCTCGCATATTTGTTCATAATTTGTAACGTTCGCGGAATGACTGTAAATGGCAATGGAGAAAACACAGACAATCAGGGTCTGTTTGATAGTTAAAAAAAGGGAAAGAGCATCCACTTAATCAATATAAATTTCGAGAAAATAAATATGGGAATATTTGAGAGAACATGAAAATCAGCTAGATAATTAGTTGCACCTTTAAGGGCCAAGCCCATTGTGAGAGATTAAAATCATCTATCATTTCCTCTGAAGAAATAACTTAAGTTGCAAAATAGTTGATACACATGATATAAGATCAGGTAAATCTGAGATCATCAGTATTCTATTTCTATTGCATAAAACCAGGCACGGGATTGCATTAATGAAAAATAAGTCCATGACTTTAACATCCAATAATTAATGTCTGCTATGTTGCATAATTGGCAGAGTTTTTTTTGTTCAGTCTGTCAACAGCTTAGAAAATTATTCTCTCTAGCTTCGATCAATTCATCACTTGTCACTAATGATGCAATTATATTCATGATCAGTTGTCCAACAGAATGTAATAATAGATCAAAAGTTGAATGGTTCACAAAGAGTCTCATTTATAATTTACAGAAGACTGTTAAGTAATATGGAGTTCACGTTTTAAGGCACTGTAAAGTAGAAAATATGGAATCGGCTAGAGATAGAGTTGACTTATCAAATTGTGTAGAAATACAGATAATCTTACATTTCATTTTCAAAGAATAAGCATGTCGAGAAGGTACCTACATGAAATAGGCATTTATTCTAAACTGCATGTTTCAATATCAATTCTAAACTCACTTTAGTCCATAAAAATTATGTGATATCTTTATGAAAAGTAATGAAAGAATATAGAGAAGCTGTCCGGCCATTTGTTTGTCCATTCGTGTTTCTGGACAATAACTCAAAAACTAGTCGACAGATTAGATTCAAATTTAATAGGCTTATGCCTACTGGATGAAGGACCTCTGCATAAGAAGGAATTTTCAATATGGCTGCTCAATTCAAAATGGCCACCATTTTTCTATTAAATGTAATCTTTGATAACTCTAATTCTAATTGAAGGATTCAGGTCAAATTTCATGTTCTGATGCCTTGGGAGAAAGGAGCTTCGCTTAAGAAGAGATTTTCAAGGTGGGCACTGAATTTCAAAATGGCCACCAATTTTCATAAAAAAACGTAATCTTAGATAACTCAAATACTCTGCATAAGAAGGAATTTTCAATATGGCTGCTCAATTCAAAATGGCCACCATTTTTCTATAAAATGTAATCTTTGATAACTCAAATTCTAATTGAAGGATTCGGGTCAAATTTCATATTCTGATGCCTTGGGAGAAAGGAACTTCGCTTAAGAAGAGATTTTCAAGATGGCCACTGAATTTTAAAAATGGCTATCAATTTTCATAAAAAAACGTAATCTTTGATAACTCAAATACCAGTAAATTGATTT